CTCTGCCCTGAGCCTCCCCACTCCAACACACACCCATCCCTCTGCCCTGCACTCCCACAGCCCCATCCCTCTGCCCTGAACCCCCCCACACACACTCAGCCTTCTGCCCTGACCCCTGAAACACCCCTCCCCCCAGGTCTGGGGTCCCGGCCGCAGGCCCTGATTAGCCCGCTGCCGGCCTAGGTGAACAGAACCCCAGGCTGGCAGCGAGCTGAGCAGGCTGGTGGCATAAGATCAGCATTTTAATATAATTTTAAATTACGCTTCTTAAACATTTTGAAAACCTTGTTTACTTTACATACAATAGTTTAGTTATATAATATAGATGTATAGAAAGAGACCTTCTAAAAACGTTAAAATGTATTACTGGCACGAGAAACCTTAAATTAGAGTGAATAAATGAAGACTTGGCACACCACTTCTGAAAGGTTGCTGACCCCTGATCTAGATGTTGCCCAGTCTAATAGGGTTGAGAATTTAGACTGCGTGCTTATATTTTATTTCTTTAGGCAAAAAGTCAGAGTTAGTTACCAATCACTTACTATCACTTATAAATCCATCTTTTATAGCCAATAAATTTGTTTAACTGTTTATCTTTACCAGTGAGTTGGTATGAAGTGTGGGAGCAAATCTGCTCAGGTTTGACAAAGGCTGGTGTATGTCCACTTTCCATTGTTGAAGTGGTGAACCAATTAATAAATTAGATGGTATATTCCTGGGGTACAGTACTGGGAGCAGGGGGGAGGAGAGGGAAAATTGACTGGTGCCTTTCTCTGTGTGATTCATGAGTGGCTCTGGGAGCATTCATGCAATCTAGCTGGGGGTGGGGCTCCACATGCGGTTGTGCTGAGTGATCACAGCGCCTGGATGGGTTGCTGCTGGTCACTAGCAAGGCATTGTGAGAGACAGCCCAGGCTGGAGAGAGTTAAGGGGACACAGCGGTCCCACAGCCCCAGACTATACCCTGGGGGGATCCCGTCACAATGATCCGCCCTTCTTTTTTGTTTACTAGTGCCATATCTGAATTAGATTCAGCCCAGGGTTTTGCTGACATTTGCTGACTGCCTCAAGAGGAGCTGTCTACCCTCAATTCCCGTTGACTTGTGTGGTGAGGGGATTCCGCCCTGTCATAACTATAAAGGGAAGGGAAACAGCTCTCCTGTGTACAGAGACTCCAAATCCTTTTACCTGTAAAGGGTTAAGAAGCTCGGGTAACCTGGCTGACACCTGACCCGAAGGACCAATAAGGGGACAAGATACTTTCAAATCTTGGGGGGGGGGAAAGGCTTGTGTGTGTGCTCTTTGTTTAGAGGGGTGGTTCGCTCTTGGGACTGAGAGGGACCAGACATCAATCCAGGTTCTCCCCATCTTTCTAAACAAGTCTCTCCTATTTCAAACTTGTAAGTAAAAAGCCAGGCAAGGCGTCTTAGATTTACTTTGTTTTCTCAACTTGTAATGTACCTTTTACTAGAGTGTTTATCTTTGTTTGCTGTACTTTGAACCTAAGACAGAGGGGGGTCCTCTGAGCTCTTTAAGTTTGATTACCCTGTAAAGCTATTTTCCATACTGATTTTACAGAGATGCTTTTTACCTTTTTCTTTAATTAAAAGCCTTCTTTTTTAAGAACCAGATTGATTTCTCCTTGTTTTAAGATCCAAGGGGGTTTGGATCTGTATTCACCAGGAGTTGGTGAAAGGAGGGTGGGAGGAAGGAGGGGGGATGGTTAATTTCTCCTTGTTTTAAGATCCAAGGGGGTTTGGATCTGTGTTCACCAGGGAATTGGTGAAAGGTTTCTCAAGGCTTCCCAGGGGGGGAGTTCTTGAGATGGTGGCAGCAGACCAGAGCTAAGCTGGTAGATAAGCTTAGGAGTCCTCATGCAGGCCCCTACATTTGTACCCTAAAGTTCAAAGTGGGGATACAGCCTTGACACGCCCCTACAGGAGGTATTGAGCAGTTTACAGCATCAGCCCTGTAAAATATAGAACCAGAATCCAGCCTCTCTGCTGGGCTCTGCTTCTCTGTACTGTAGGGCTGGCCTATGCAATCTGGTGCACACCACTCTTTAAACAGGTACAAGCTTGTTCCACCCCCTCACTCAGGGCCCTCTCCAGTGACTCTGGATACACTCTCACTGTGTTTCTGTTTGCACCATTGGCAATGCTAGCTGGGAACATTGCTCAGTAGTGTCGAACACGAACATTCAAAAAAATCATCAATTAGGCCCTAAAACCATGAGATTGGTTTAAAATTCATGTTTTTTTATAAAATAACACATTTTGTGTTCTCTTTATGTGCCTCCTGGTTTCTGAGCCTTTAGGGTGCACATAGGTCACATTTTTAAGCTTTCTCTGAAAGTACATGGGCTGGAAACTTATTTACAAGAGAATCTCAGCTTTTTTAACATGACTCCAGGAGCTAGGGCTTTAAGTAAAATGCCAAATATCATTAGACTTGCGATAAAATCATGAGAGTTGGCAATGCTGGTTAGTAGAGCTCCTCCTTGCAACTGTACCTGGTCTCTACAAGGGTAAACAAGTTATGGAGAAGGCTCTATGGACCCTCTTCCTCATCCCCCTTTGCACACACAATCTGTTCTTTAATGTTCATCTAGTAAATAACCATCTCAGCATCTGCCATTCCCCAGAAGTCCTATGGGCCACCACAGCTACAATTCTGAACAGAAGAGGCTATGGAGTGTCCAAGGCCTTGTCTAGATAACGAAAAAGATGCTTTTTTCAATGGAGTGAACTCAGTTGAGCCAATTCAACTCAACTGAAACCCCCACTTAACCCCTGTAGACATCTTTAGCTTGATTTTTAGCAGGTCAAATTATAGTCTAAGCAGGCCTCTAAGGCTGTCTTCATCACTAAAAAAGGTATGTTTTTACATGGAGGTAACTGACTAGAGTTTGCAACCTTAATGTAAAATCCTAGCAGAGACAATGAACAGGTGATTTTTACCTCAGCGTAGCTAGCTGAGGTTCAATACTATGCCCTCTACCTGGGGTTGACCTCAACTAGCTACACTGAGGTAAAAACTACCTGTGTGTTGTCTCCGCTAGGATTTTACATTGATGGAGCTATCTTGACATAAAAACACACATTTTTCCAGGGAAAACATATATTCTAAGACACAGCTTGCCAAAACTGAGCTAACAGTTTTAAGCTGTGCTTACAGTGACATTAACTGGGGCTTTCAATTGACTTAACTAGCTCAAATGAGCTAACTCAGTGGAGGTTAAAAAAACAACAACCTTTTTTCCCTAGTCTAGACAAGGATTGAGTATTTCAGGGGGAATCCTGCTGAAGAGCAGAGTTGCTTGAAAGCATTTTTTTTTAATTTTTTCAATAAACTGACCTCTCTGCTGAACAAGTGCAGCCTAGTATCTGTAATTTTCCAGAGCTTCTGCAGCTTAGAACTTTTCAGACTTAGTATTTAAGTTGAAGTTTAATTCACTCTTGTTCCTGAATAAATTGTCATTTGGAAGGCTGTATTGTTGCTATTAATTCAAGGAAAAATGGAAACCTTCCCAGCAACCCAGAATATTGATAGGATTTTCAAGGATGTGAAACATTTTATCTTATCAGAAATTATTCCTTTTCTGTTGAAATCCATTAAAACAATTGTGTTAATCAAGACTCAGACCAAGCTACTATTTTCAGTAGAAAACATTAATTTAATGATTTAAAAATGTATTCACAGATATACCAGATATTCTAAATGTACCTTGGGTAAAAGTCCTTTAAGGCAAGGATTGTCTAAAAGCAGAGATATAACCATGACATAACATTTTCATAGGTGCATCAACATCAGAACTGGAAATGGCCTATGTGGAACCCTAGGCTGTAGCTGTTTTGTAACTGTTCGGTGGCTGGAATTCCCATTATGGTCAATGGTATTTCAATATATAGATCAGCTGCTACGATTACATTCGGGAGCGTCTTTTTAAGGAAGAATATGTACTGTTATTCAGTACATATTTCTGGGCTTAATGTGATCTCCATTTGAGCTTTGGACTTCACCTATGCTGAACAAACTGTCTTGAGTTTCAAAAGGCTTATTGTAATAAAAGCCCCTCTGGTTCAGTTAGAGGAGTTTCTGTGTATTTATTTGACCAGAGTTTTGGAAAAGACCGAAATTTAAAACATGAAAAGGGTTTTTGTGTTTTAGTATCATCGCTGTTTTCTTGGGAAGATGAGTCACTCTCTTTGTCCATGAGACAACTCCTGAGGGCAAAGCCGCTACATTGCAATAATTTGTTCTGAAACTCTGATGTGATAAAGTAATAGAGGATTGGATCCAGACAACAGTTCAAACTTGCAAGACATAAAGAAACTGGATGAAAATGAAGAGTGCTTCTGCGTATGGCGCAGTTTGTAATAACATTCTGTTTCACCATCATAAATAAAGGAAAGTTTATATGATATGGTGTGAAACATATGAAGAATACAGCTGCACACATCAGAATCATCCGTAAAGCTTTCTCTTTCTCACTTCTCTGTTGCAAGGGCACTTGACAGTCCTGTAGAGATTGTCGCATTTTCCAAGTGCAGTATGCAATAATAACTAGGGGGACCACAAACCCTAATAATTCAGCTATTGTTACTGAAGTAATAGAAGATTCCATAGTCATTTGCTTCACTCCAAGATCTGCAAAGCAGGTGTTTGTATTGTTGGATAAGGTAGGACTTCTCAGGATTGGAACTGGTGAGCAAGCAGCCCCAACAATGATCCACACAACAGCACTAATGGTGACATCATACCTGCACTTCCAGTCTTTGGCTTTGAATGGATGGAGAAGGAAAAGGTACCTTTGAATGCTTATGCAGGTAAGGAAACAAATACTTGCGTACATGTTGAGATACTTCAGGTAGAAACATAACTGGCAAAGGAAACTCCCAAAAGGCCATATGTGGTTTATATAATAATACACTCGAAGAGGTAATGAGAGAACATGTGCAAGATCAGCTACAGCCAAATTAATCATAAAAATAACAGCTTTGTTTTTCTTCCTGATGAAGCGACATAAAACCCATAATGCAGCACTGTTTGCCAGAAGACCAGGTATGAATATTATGGTGTAAGTGGTTGCGTATAGGGAGGACTGAAATCCCATATGAGGATCAGTGCAGTTTCCTGAAGGTCTGTTGCTCGGCATCTTGAATGTATCTGCGCATTCATTTAGGAGATGATGGGATGGAAGAAGGATTTCTGTAGAGAGTAAAAACAAAGACAGTAAAGGCAAAAACTGTTCAGTGTTTATTAATATTGATGTTTGTATTTTCTAATTCAGACAAAAACATTTAAATGAGACCGTACACATAGTAAATACCTATTGAAAAGGAAGGAGTATAAAGAAAAGCTTTGTGGTTCACTCCATTACAGAAACTGAGATTAAAATGACAAGCAAAGAGGATGCTTTTACCATCAGTAGTAGGGCCATAAAAGAGATTTTGTCACTTGACCAAGCTCCCAATACAGTTATCAATGGAATGACTCTGTAGCCATCCCAGCATGAGTAGTTGTTTCTGGAACATCTGCATCCTTGGGTCATATTCACTCTTCGATTCCAGTCATTCAGCAGCCCAAAGTCTTCTGGGATTTGGGTATAGACACACAAGCTATCCGGAAACCCTACTCTGCCAGGGTCTCATAGCCAGCCAGCACTGATCAGAAAGTTGTGCGGGTTGACTAGGAAGGATAAAGAATTGGGCCATCTCTTAGATGTGCTGATTCAGTGCATCATCCAGCCAGCCTTGACTGGAGGTAGTCCTATGGAATTCCATCCAGAATGTAAACCTACTCTGACAGTGTCCTAATGCCACAGTGACGCTATTCATCAGCTTGTTGCCGGCTGCCAGGCTACTCTTCAGATCTCTAGTTTCTCCATAACATTTGACTTCATTCATTGCACACTGTATTCAAACGCCTATCGAATCAGTGTCCCCATGCAGACCTACAGACGTCTCCAACAAGAGATTAAATAAATATAGTTTTGAATTAACTCAGACTGTCTGAGCATCTTTAACAACCACCATAGAGATCTTGTATTACATTATCAGAAGTAAAACAATAAATAGCTTAAATAAGGAACAAGGCTAGCAGACAGCAGACTGTGGAGGAGGTCTGTGATGGAAAGGAGCAGACAGCTCCATCAGAGCTCTGGCTCCATATTTAGGACTAATAAACTTAAACTAATATCTAACCAAATGTGCGTCAGTTTCTATGTCGGTATTGGAAATGCATTACTACACAATGGCATAATGCAGTCATCATTTTGTAATAACAGAAAATAACATCTAACCATTGCAGACATGATGGGAAAAATATCTCTCTGCAATTACCCCAGAAGTTCTCCAATTTGGGTGACATTCATCCATATGCACCTGCATAAATCTCTATGTGCCATATATGCCCAACATTGAGGGCTTAAATGGTGCAGAGGTACTTGTGCAGGCCTTCTTTACTGTGATGAATTTCACCCTTCCTGAGTACCTTTTTGGGGAAACATTTTTTTAGGCAAAGGGATTATTGTTCATGCAGCAGGTTATAAAATGAGGCACAGATAACACCATCATTTAAGACTAAACCATGTAATTTTCACCCTAGCACCAAATGCTATGAGTATAATTTTTAAATTGACCACAAGGTGTCACAGCTGGATCAGAGTTAATGTCTCTTTTGCTTCTCTCTAAGAGACCAGGGCCTGATCTTGCAAAATCTTTATCATAGTTCTTGAAAATCTGACTGGCACTGATGACAATGTGTAATGAATAAAGACATGATTTTGGTGTCAATGAGACTGCTCACACTTGTAAGCCCTCTGGCTAGAATTTTCTAAAAAGCTCCTGATCAGATTTCCAAGAGTTCAGAACCCACAGTTGAGACCAAATTTTCAAAGGAGCTCTGGACCCAGGTGCTCCCACTGAGAAACTTGTGGTGTGATTTTCAGAAGTGTTCAGCACCCACCATGCACATGCTGAGCTCTTCTGAAGTTCTAGCCGCAAATTTGGATTTCTAAATAGGAGCTGAGCACTCTGGCCCCAGTTGTGTGTGCTGATCCCTCCTGACAATCCCAGCCTGTGTTTAGTAGTGTTTGCAGGATGAGGCCCTTACCTTTTACTCACAGACTCATAGTCTTTAAGGCCAGAAAGGCCCAATGTGATCATCTAGTCTGACCTCCTGCACATTGCAAACCACAGAACCTCGCCCACCAACTCCTGTAGTAGACCCATAACCTCTGGCTGAGTTGCTGAAGTCCTCAAATCAAGATGTAAAGACTTCACATTACAGAGAATCCACCATTCACTTGCTAGTTTAAACCAGCAAGTGACCCGTGCCCCATGCAGTAGAGAAAGGTGAAAAACAAACAAACAGGGTCTCTGCCAAGCTGAACTGGGGGGGTGGAATTCCTTCCCAACCCTAAATATGGTGATCAGTTAGACCCTGAGAATGTGGGCAAGATCCAGCAGCCAGACACCTGGGAGAGAATTCTCTGTAGTAATTCAGAGCCCTTCCCATCTAGTGTCCCATCTCTGGCCATTGGGAATTTTTGCTACTAGTAGTTGCAGATGGGCCACACACCATTGTAGGCAGTCCCATCACACCATCCCCCTCCATAAACTTATCAAGCTCAGTCTCAAAGACAGTTAGGTTTTTTGCCCCTACTATTCCCCTTGGAAGGCTGTTCCAGAACTTCACTCCTCCTCTGACAGTTAGAAACCTTCGTCTAATTTCATGCCTAAACTTATTGATGGCTGGTTTATATCCATTTGTGCTTGTGTCAACATTGGTGCTTAACTTAAGTAACTCCTCTCCCTCCCTGGTATTTATCCCTCTGATGTATTTATAGAGACCAATCATCTCTCTCTTCAGCCTTCATTTGGTTAGGCTAAACAAGCCAAGCTGCCTGGGTCACCTCTCATAAGGCAATTCCCATCTTTTCATGTGCTGTGTATTTATACCTGCCTCTGTATTTTCCTCTTCATGCATCTGATGAAGTGGGTTTTAGCCCACGAAAGCTTACGCCCAAATAAATTTGTTAGTCTCTAAGGGTATGTCTACACTTGCAGCTGTAGAGCACTGTGAGTTAAACCTGCCTTTGGAGAGCACAGCAGGGAAAGCTCTGCAGTCTGTCCACACTGACAGCTGCTTGCGCACTGGTGTGGCCACATTTGCGGCACTTGCAGCGGCATTGGGAGCGGTGCATTATGGGCAGCTATCCCAACATGCAAGTGACTGCAAGGTTCTTTTCAAATTGGGGGGGGAGGTGTGTGCAGTGTGACAGGGAGTGTGTTGTGTGTATGTGGGGAGAGAGAGAGTGGTGTTTGGGGGGGCTGAGAGCATGTCAGCATGCTGTCTTGTAAGTTCAGACAGCAGCAATGACAAGAGTGGCCACTTGACTTAAGGGGATTATGGGACGTTTCCGGAGGTCGATCAGAGCGCAGTAACCCAACACCTCGTTCACACTGACGCCCGTGCGTTGTAGCCAAGGCGCAGCAAACGTTATTCCTCTCGCCGAGGTGGAGTACCAGCAGCGCTCTAGCCATGGAGTCAGAGCGCTCTACGTGCCTTGTCAGTGTGGACAGGGAGTGAGCTAGGGCGCCCAGGGCTCCTTTATTGCGGTGTAACTTGCAAGTGTAGCCAAGCCCTTTTAAGGTGCCACAGGGACTCCTCGTTGTTTTTGCTGAGAGACTAGCACGGCTACCACTCTGACACCTTTCATAAGGTAGAGTTTCCATTCTCTGATCATCCTAACAGCCCTTCTCTGTACCTGTTCAAGTTTGAATTAATATTTCTTAAACATGAGACAGTATTCCTGATGAGGTCTCACCAGTGTCTTGTATAATGGCAATAACACTTCCTTATCTCTACTGGAAATACCTTGCCTGATATATCCTAGGATTGTATTAGCTCTTTTCACAGCTGCATCATATTGATAGTCATCCTGTGATCAACCAATATGCCCAGGTCTTTCTCCTCCTCTGTCATTTCCAGCTGATACATCCCCATCTTACAGCAAAAAATGTTGTTGCTAGTCCCTCAATGCATGCCCTTGCACTTTGTACTATTAAATTTCATCCCATTTCTATTACTCCAGTTTTCAAGGTTGTCCAGATCTTCTTGTATGATATTCTGGTCCTCCTCCATGTTGGCAATACCTCCTAACTTTTTGTTATCTGCAAATTTTATTAGCACACTCCCACTTGTTGTGCCAAGGTCATGAATGAAAAAGTTAAATAAGATTGGTCCCAAGACTGATCCCTGAGGAACTCCACTAGTAACAGCCAGACAGTTCATCTTTCATATGACCCGTTGTAGACTCCCCTTTAACCAGCTCCTTACCCACCTTTCAGTTCTTATATTAATCCCCATCTTTTCCAATGAAACTAATAATTTCCCATGTGGGACTGTATGAAATGCCTTACTGAAATCCAGGTAGATTAGATCCACTGCATTTTCTTTGTCTAAAATATCAGTTATCGTCTCAAAAAAAAAAGATCAAGTTAGTCTGGGATGATCTACCTTTTGTAAAACCATGTTGTATTTTATTCCAATTATCAATTAACTCTGTCCTTAAATACTTTCTCTTTCAAAATTTGTTCCAAGCCTGTGCAAACAAATGATGTCAAACTAATAGGCCTGTAGTTTTTTGGATCTTTTTGTTCCCTTTCTTAAAAATAGGTACTTTATTAGCAATTTTCCAGTCAGAGGGTATGACCCTGAGTTTACAGACCTATTAAAAATCCTTTCTATTGGGCTTGCAATTGCATGTGCCACTTCCTTTAATATTCTTGGATGGAGATTATCTGTACCCCCCAATTTGGTCCCATTAAGATGTTTGAGTTTGACTTCCACATCGGATGGGGTAATTTCTACTTCCATATCCTTCCTTCCATTACCTACCCTGCCACTACTCCTAAGCTTCTCATTACTCTTATTAAAAACTGGGGCAAAATATTTGTTTAGGTTTTTGGGCCATGCCTAGTTTATCTTTAATCTCTGCCCCAAATACTGGGCTCATATTTAAATACTGGAGAGTTTTTCGCCTTGGGGTAACTAAGGGCCTGATTTCTCCCCTCCTCCCCTCCTCCCCCCCCCCCGAGGTTCTGAATACCCATAGCTTCTATTATCTTCAACTGGAGTTGTGAGAATTTAGCACTTCTGAGAATTAAATCCAGAGTAACTTTACTCCAATCTCTGCAGAATTTTGCTGATTCCTTAGAATAAGCATAGGGAAATTTAGATATTACTGCAAATGCTAAAGTAACCATTATCTGAAGCAAAACTGGCACGTTTCTAAGAGTGACCAATGTAGTTAGGAGGAAGTAATGCTGACTGTATTTAGCAAGGGTGCCAATATCCTGTTGTCCAGAGCTATGACAACAGGGCTTGACAGTATTAAAAAACAACAACAACAACAACAACAAACATTGTCAAGGTATTTGTCATCATTTTTTTAAGTTCCTACTTATTCCACTTTCCAATTTTCAAGAGTTTACTCTTCTCTCCTGTCATTCTTTCAAAAATGCACTAAAGCATGATGAAGACTGAAAGAAAAAAATGCTCATGTAGATAAATATACATGAACTTTGCTCATGTAGGAAAAGTAGGTCCAGTTTTGACCATTAACTTTGGCAAAGCAGATGTTAGTGTGGGCTAGCGTGCTTTTGTTTTTCAAAATCAAAAATGTATATTTTTAAATATACACAACAGATGTCCTTGGAAAAGCTGTGTGTAGCTTAATGTGGATGGTCTGATAGTGAACAAAGTAATTGCTGCTGAAGATCCTCAGTGGAGCCTCATCCTGAGAGAGAGATGACCATTGGGTGGGGAGTGCTGCTGCCAGTGGTCGGAGAAAAAGCAGCAGGCTGAATGGGTTAAGCTGTCCTTCATGTGCTTGTTTGCACTACGCTATTGATCATCTACTTCTTTTATTCCTCCCTGATCCCGCCATGGGGTCTGTGCTGGCAGTAGCTATGCGGGAGGTGACACCACAAAAGGTGATGGCCCCTTATGCTTGGTGCTGCTGCTGTCCATGGTCTCAGAGCACTGGAGGTATTTGCTGTCCCCAAGGTTATTGGCCCACCTTACCAGTCCCCTCTATAGCCACATCCATCTTGCTCCTTGCTTTCAGGACTGCTCACCTCCGAAAGGGGTGAGTGGGGCAGGCCGTGAGTCTGGAACAGGGAGAAGAATGGCATTGGCCAGAGGGAGGATGGGGTCATCTATGGCACTCAAGCAAACTCTCAAAACGTAACCCTACAGGGACTGCTATTAGGGCATAGTCAATGGAGGCACTTAACTGTGGAATTCACTTACCAAGTTGTCCAGCACAGCCCATGTTCAGTGACCTGGCATGTCCATCTTTTTTCTCAACCTCGCACCTGAGAATGTGTTTGGACTTGCTTTGCATTTTTTGTACAGAGGCTGTATTTTGATCTTTAACTAGGTACATGTGTAATTGGGCACATTTTTTTTTACATTAAAATTTGATAAATACACTAAATTAAACCTTATTCCAAACAGACCAGTGAACAGTCATAAATTGCTAGCACCTTTTCCTGGCTACTGTCAGTCCGTAGCATTACTTTACTTCTGATTTACAGCAGCATCGGTGAAGTCAGTATCAGGCGCCTTGAGTTCTAGGGCTGTACTTTCCTCTTTAAAAGTCCCCACCAGCCCCAACTCCCTGGTGGACACATGAAATGTGGTGTCTTTCTGGGTAGTTGTCTTCCCACGACAGAGTTCAATATTGATGTACTAATTAACTCCATCTCACACCAGACACGAAGGCTGTCTGAAGACTCAATTAATGTTTATTAAACCCTTGCTTTACTGGTAAAAACTGCTCTTTGAATCCAGGGAAGTCATTTCTCTGCCTGATGGCAAGTAATAGTGAGGTCTTGGCCCTATATTTCTGAGGAAGATATGGGGAGAGAAATTGCTTGGTGGTTCACGGAGAAATCAGATATTCGTATCTAACTTTACACTTTTTGAAGGACCCACTTCCTTTGAAGCTAGCATGATGTCCTATAGTATCATTTGGGGTTGTGGCTTTCTATGGAAGGGTGTACAGACTTTTTGGTGCCTCTTAGAGAGGCCCCCAAATCCTAACACACCTGACCTCCATGTTGTCCTCATAAGGAGGCCCTGCCAAGCTAACCAATGACATTGGGCTTGGGGGGAAATTTGCATCAAGGGTTTAGAGGCAGCTCAGGAACCAGCCAGGAACTAATTAAATGCAGCTGAGATTTTTTTGGCCTCAAGACGTTAAAAAGGGAAACAGAGATTGTGCTGACCAGACTTGAATGTGGGGAAAACATATGTGCCACTCTGGCTGGCTTGTACTTGTTTTTTGTTTAGTAGTCTATTGGTTGTAACACACACATGGAATGAATGCAGCTAGCACCTATTGACAAGCTGCTGTCAATTTGGATTAAATCCAGTTCTCCTTCAATAAAATACTCCCTGAAATAAGTGATTTTTATTTTGTATGTGTTCACAGCTGAACCTCTGGTGAATTTTCTCTCTTGCCTTTTGGTCTCTGGCCCCTTTGACTCTTTCTAAGTGCTGCCCTCATTTATCCCTGGGTAAAGACAGTGATGTTATGACTCAGTGATATTTTCTAAGACCTTGGAAAAATATTAATGTATTGTAGCTTTTAATCATCTAAATATATTTGCCATTTTGGTATTGTTATTGCAGTAGTGCCTAGAGGTCTCAAGCAGGTTCAAGGTACCATTATACTAGATGCCGTATAAAAGCATACTAACAATCAGTTCCTGTTGTGAAGGGTTTACAGGGTAACTGAAGACTGGAAACAAAAAATGGGTGTCATTACAAGGAATGGGGAAGGAGGATGTAGGTAAAGGTGATAGCAACATGGGTTATACAGAGTAGCCATGTGCTCAATTAGCAGGTTAAGCTAATAATTAAAATAAACATAAATGCAAAGAAGCACTAATATATCAGCAATCTAACTTTCTGCTATGTACTTATATGGTCTTTATTACAGAAGTCATCAGTGGAAATTGCCGGAATTATCATTACTCTGACTCACTGTGTGCCCCACCCAGTTCTACATTTCTGTGGTATTGTGCTTAGAATTTCCAAATTCAAAGAGACAGTAGGAACATAGTCTTTTCATAATTATTATTATTTATATAGAGGTAGCCCTAATTCCAGATCCAAACAACCCCAAACTTTGAATCTGAACTTTATGGCAAAGGTTCCTCTCTGGAATTATAGTGAAATACTGCAGCGGTGGGGAAATGCATCTTTTTAATAAAAATCCACTTGATGACTTGAAATAGTTTTCTAGAGTTTCTGATTTAAGTAGACGAGACTTTCTACAGCTTTTGTTTAAATAGTAATTATCATTAGCTTTTTTAACACATGCAACTGAAAGAGAATATGTGAAACAGAACTGAATGATCTGTTGTAATGTCCTATCAATCAACGTAATGTTTTCTGTAGAACAGTCTTCAGCTGTTTTCTCATACAGGCTTTCTATCACAATGCATTGCTTTTTACTTACCCACCACTCAGAAATGAAACAGCAAATTGCTCTTCTATCAAAGGCTGCTGAGGACAGCCTACCAATACAAGCATTTGTTTGAAGTTTCTCTTGAAAAAAGCATACGATGGTATTGCTGAATATTGTTATGGCTTGGATTTACAAAAGGAAATGTGCAGCAAAAATAAATCTTACCTCATTCTAACTTCCATTCTTCAAAACAGAAATATCCACAGCGAAGAGTAGGGAAAAAGCAAAATGTTTTTTATTAGCTACAGTTTATGCTGTAGATTCCAACGATAGAGATATTTTTAAAAACTTCTCACATGAAGAGAGAAATTTCACCCTCTTGCCCTAGTGCTCCAAAATCCGCTGACATCTGGAGACTGATACAGTGACTGAATAACAGGAAATCCTGTATTTTTTTTCACTTAGCCAGCCAACGTGTTTTCAGCTACTGACATTAAAACAATTCAGATGATGTTATTTTGATGCGACTCAGGCTTTAATTTTGCACAGAATTGGAGTTTCTGCTATGTTCTATGCATGCCCTCAGTCAAGTTATACTTTACTTTTGCCTGTGACGTTTTGTCATTGTAGACTCCATCTGTTTGCTAAAACTGTGCACACACAAATCTGCTAGTGAGCAAATACTAAAATATAACTGAAAAATATATAGATCTAAGTCAGGGTAGGCAACCTATGGCATGCATGCCGAAGGCGGCACGTGAGCTGATTTTCAGTGGCACTCACACTGCCTGGGTCCTGGCCACCGGTCCGGGGGACTCTGCATTTTAATTTAATTTTAAATGAAGCTTCTTAAACATTTTAAAAACCTTATTTACTTTACATACAACAATAGTTGAGTTATATATTATAGACTTATAGAAAGAGCCCTTCTAAAAATGTTAAAATGTATTACTGGCACGCGACACCTTAAATTAGAGTGAATAAATGAAGACTCAGCACACCACTTCTGAAAGGTTGCCAACCCCTGATCTAGGTCGTTCAAAATGAGTGAAAGGTGCGAAATTTTGGTTTATTTTCCATATCCAAAATATATGATGGTTTATAGCTTGAATGTTCTAAAAGTACTCTCATCTTATACAGGCATGTAATGTCCAGTGTCATGTATTTGAGATATACCTTTCTTTTCTCTGCCTCATTCAATTCCTTTTCCATGTGTGTATAAGATGTCCTTTCCTTATGCAGGGCCGGTGCTACCATTTAGGCAAACTAGGCGGTTGCTTAGGGTGCCAAGATTTGGGGGTGCCAAAAAGCGGTGCCCCCAATTTTTTTTTACAGCGTTCCTACGCCCCCTCCCCGAGCACGCGGTCGCCGCTCCACTTCTCCCGCCTCCCAGGCTTGCAGCACCAATCAGCTGTTTGGCACTGCAAGCCTGGGAGGGGAGGAGAATTAGAGCTGGGGCGGCGTGCTCAGGGAGGAGGCGGAGCAGAGGTGAGCTGGGGTGGGGAGCTGCTGCACGGCTCCCCGGGGGGGAGCTGCCGTGGAGGGGGGGCACCTCAGGGCAGAGCGGGGAGCTGCCACGGGGGGGCGCCTCAGGGCGGGGGGGGCGGGGAGCTGCTGCAGGGCTGGGCGGCGGGGCGCAAGATGGAAGTTTCGCCTAGGGCGCAAAACTTCCTTGCACCGGCCCTGTCCTTATGCATGGTACTGCATTCAGTGGTGATGACATATTACTTTCTGGATTGTCCGGAAATGGCATTGCGATGTGAGTTACTATTAGTTGCATTGTTTCCTGCTGAATGATGTGATATGATGATGCACATCACATATCATGTCCCAGCATCTGCAGAGATAACATGGCAGCACTGTAGAGCTGGCGTAGTGCTCCCAGTTCTTACTATAGATGCTGACTAAATTGAAATATATTCTTTCTCTTGCTATAATATCCTGTTGGGTTGGTTTTAGGGTCATTCAAAACAAGCAGATGCACACTGGGGTACCAAGAGGAAGGAGAAGAGGGAAAGGTATAATCTACAATAATTTGTTGCTTAAATCCTCTGGCAATTGCTATGGGGCAAATCCCGATCCTTTCCCTCCCCACCCCACTGCATTTGAACATACAAAATCCTTAAAGCAGTGGTTCCACCATGATTCCTCTGTGCAGGGGAAGGTACCAGTTACAGTGAGCAGGCGCTATTGGGTCCAGCCCCCCATGACCCACGAAGCACCGTTCTCTCTGGGGCAGTAGAAAATAGTTGTCGGGGCAAGGGTTGTCTAGATGAAGTGGGAATGTAGCCTGTACATTTGCAACTACATGGATCGACTAGTCCAAACCACCACGTGGGGGAAGAGGCAGCAATTGCTATTACAACCCCAAGTATGTACTTGCTTTCTGCAGCCTGCACAAGGGAAAAGTTCTATGGGGAAAAGAGCTTTGTGCAGGTCCATGGTTTGTCCCTAAGTGCTTATATTTTAAAACTCATAGACAGATCTATGGGGTCCTGAATTATTCCTGCTTGTTAATCACTTTAATTAGATCTGTATATGAATAAGAGTCAGCAACGTCATGGGCTTCCTGCAATCACTGGAAGCTTTGAATCTCAGTGTTGGGAAGACAGTGACCAGGTTTACAAATTCAAAATTTGTTTTCTGTGCATCTTCTCCAGTATTTGCTTCAAAGTGGCTGTTTCAGCAAAGAAATGGCGCACTCATTCCCTAAAACGTCCAAAAAACCAAAGGGATGGGCACACACAGTCCAACTGAGAGATTTTTAAAATGTGGGCTTTTCCCCTGTAGTTGTATTTTACCTCTTAGTTTATTTTGCCCTCTGAAAACTTTTCACACATTCTAGGTCATTAAAAGCATCACAGAATGCACTATTATGTGACATCACTGACAACCAACGTTACACAGGTTGACAATCTTGCCCACAGATATTAATTTTAAAAATCCATTGTCATACATTAAAATGTATAATTATTTCTCTTCTAATGGACTGAATAAACTCTATGTATGTATGTTTTTGCTTAACTATCCTTGCTTAAGTATAGTTCTACACAAGTGCACATTTTACAGGGACTAACCTCTGCTTTTATAAACTCTGACAGAAGGTACAAGGAAGTTTAAAGTGGCAGTGAAATTAAATGTATATCCTTTTAAGCCTATAAACTGGTATTCTGTGGGCAGAAGGACAAATGCAATTCAACATTTCTCTAAACTGAGAACATTTTTTTCATATCAAACAGGATGCACCTGAAGGATGTATGTAAAACAAGGTTGTACTTCTCTAAAGTAAGGGGTTTTACTCACATCAAGTGAAATTCACCAGTGGGCAGAGTCCTGGCACGAAGCCCATGCACTAGTTAGAGCCTACTTAAACCTGACCTTCATGAGTCAAGTGGTGCATATCACTTGTTTAGGCCCTCTGACAAGGGGTGAAGTTCACCATAAAATATATAAATAGTGTTTACAGAAGTGGCATTCATTTAGACTTAGATTTATTTTAAAGTGATTAATGGCCAAGTTATTCTTTACCTTTGTGTTTTGACACTTGCACACACTTTGGGTCAGGGACTGCAGAATTACCAACCTCAAGCATTCACAAATCATGAGTAAGGCCCCACAAATCATGAGATTTTCTTAAAAAGCATGAGATTTTAATAAATAGATAAATTTGGGGCTCTTTTTATTTACCTAATAGGTGATGAGCTTGTAGGGTGCACTCAGGTCATATTTTCAGAGTTTTTCTCTGCAACAAGGGCTAGAAACTTGCATTTTAAAAAATAAATAAAGCTGAGATTCTCACCAAAACCCTTGACTCCAGTAGCAGCAGCTTGAAGAAAAACACGAAATAGTGTGACACCCATGATAAAATTGTCAGTTGGCAACACTGCAACATTCTCTTACTCTATGTGTACATTGCCTAGCACAACAGGGTTCTGATCTTTTTGGGGAGAGGACCACCACTTACCTCTGAAATACTGGTAGTATTTCACCAGGTACTACTGAAATACTAAAGGGCACATCAGGTGAGGGATTGTGTGTCAAACCTGCAAGGAACAAGCCCTCTCATAAGTAGCCATAAGGCGTAGGTATTTTCTAGGTAAGGCCTGGGTATAAGTTAAGGGAGTAATGTAATGAGCCTAAAAGGCATGTAAGACAAGACAATAGCTTAGCTAAACAAGGCATAAGGCCCAAAAAGCCTTAGCATAAGCAGCTAACCAGGAGTAACCGTAGATCATAAGATATCACAAGTTAGAAGGCAGGAGTGACTGAACTGCTGACAGGTAACCACAAGCTTACTAGTTTGTACCTGTTTGTGATATTTTATTTTAGGAACATCAACAGATGTCTGACCACAAGAATGCCATGGTAACTAATGATGTATATGCTAATAAGCTTGAGGTAAATGGACTCTTAACCTATGGGAGACGGGCACCCCAACATTAATAGGGTAAGGAAGTACAAATAAGGAAAAAGGGGAAAACTCCTACTGACTATGCATTAGGCACAGTGGCTTCAGCACAACACATTATAAAAGTTGTATTCCGGCCTGTGTGCATTGGGGAAAGGTAATTCTTGGGAGATGCCAGGATGACAGCCACTGGTGATGATGACTAACACTTCGGATCTTTTTTCAAGCGATGGTGTGAGCATATGGATGCTCAGACACACATTCTATGTTATGTCTATCTACCTTGCTGGGTTGGAGTGTTTGTAGCTTTACTAACTGCGTTAATAACATATTATAAATACAGAAGGTTTTTCTTAAGTGTGAGTGTTGTAACTGTGCACATCAGGGTTTCCAGCTGAACAGAAATTCTAAGAATACTGGGTCTGATCTTGGGACAAGAACCTACCAAACCTCAGAGTTTTAACTGGAAATTCTTAAGTAATCAATACAATTAATACACAATCGATAGATCAAGCAACATGTGCTAATAATCAAAATGTTCATATACATAACACAGATCATTACCTGTTCCTATTGGACATTTTTTCACCCAACAAGCATTCACCAGTGAAGGGGAGTGTCTTATTGCTTTGCTGTTGCTGAGCATTCCACACCCTTTGAGAGCCCTGTTGATATGTGATATATTTTTGATCTACGTGAGCAATTCAGAGAATTTGTTACATTACTTGGATAGTGGCCAGTTCTCGTTCAACCCTGACACTACACTAAGTTTTCTCTAGCAGTGGAGTGAAGGTGAAAAGTTCCAGATTTCAACCACCCAAAGTTTAGATGTGATCAGACCCAGGATTTTGGAGTGGGCCCATCTTTGGTTTTCTGAGGGGTCACTGATGAAAGTTAGTTGGCTTTGGAGGGACAGCCATTTGTTTTGGGTTTTTTGGTGTATTTGTTGAGGAAACACAAAGCCATCTTAACTGCCATGCACTCACTGGGGAGTCCAGGAGCCAGGATGTAGACAGTCCATGAAAGGAATCCTCACAGAATGGAACATGGCAGATTCCCTGGACTGCTTTCTACTGTCACAATACTATAAGCCTTGCATGGTTCCAGGGAACTGAATATGAAAGCAATTTTCAGATTGCATATGAAGCAAACTTACTGTAAAAGGAGTGGAGGAAGTGACAAGTAAACCTGCTGATGCAACCCACAAGGTCTCACCCATTGGATGTGTGGTTCTAGATCATGTGATTACCATTTCCATTTGTGAACCACCATCTCTCAACCAAGTAGGCAGTAGAAATGCTGAAGTTTGAGCCATACTAACCAAAAGGGTCATGAGGCCTGGGCCTAAGGAGCAAATGAGTTGGGGATGCTGTTTAATGTTGAATAAAAGCCCTTTCATTCCTGATTTTTACTTTCAAATTTCAGAGCAAAAGGAAATCAGTGCAAATCTGTAGATGGGACTTTCTAAAAGTGGGAGGGGAGAGAAGTCAGGTGTTTTCCCATGGGGAAAGACATAAGTCTCATGTCATATTCACATATTGGTGTAGACTGTGATACATGACAGGAGTCACTTTTACTTTAGTCTATATAGAGTCAATATATGATCTCTTCCAAGTCCATTATGCAAGCCAAGGAGTGAGGCAGGCAGAGAGAGGAGCAGCAGCTTTGAGAAGAGACTGGTGCACTGGGACTTCTGTCACAGTGGAAGGGGAGGTTATCCCTTGCAAAGACTACTGAGCTGTTAGCCTTTAGAGCAATGTAGGCCCGTAACCCACAGGAATCAGGGCAGAGAGCACATCAGTTTACAGGTGTTGAGAAAACTTTGTGAGAAAATAGGGGTGGCCTCACTTTTCAACTGCAGATCTATAAAAAGGAAGTGAAAAAGAAGAGACAACATGTCAGAAGCTATTACTGGGAAGGCTGCTCTCAGACAATGATGAAAAAAAATGGCAAGAGATCTCGAGTCTCACAAACAAGAAGCTTCGTCTTTAGTTCTCCTTCTGGCACTCACAAAGGGCCTTTCGGACAACAGGGCAAGAATAAGAATGGGCAATTTTATTTGCTGCCACAGAAATTGTAACATTAAGAGAAGTCATCAAAATTCTCTGCGGAGCAAATAAAAGCAGACATTCTCCCTAGAGAGATCAGCCTGTAACTTTGTTTTTCTATAGTTTAGCAATCTCCACTTTATTTGAAGTGATGTTGATACATTTTTAAAACCACAATTTGAACGCTGCTGTTTCTGCGGCAACACAGATTCTGATCTTCACTGATTGTCACTCCAAATACAGACCCTTTCACTGCTGAGGCCTTGTCTTCTACTGCTTTAACAATACTGCAGGAGTTACAATAATCTAACCCCCACTGGTGTCTATATCAGTATAAAGGTGCTTAGACTAGTGTTGCTATTCAGGGGTGTCATTTCCTGTGGAGCGGGGGAGTAGAAGGGAAAGGAGCAGCTTCCTTCCACCGTCAGACTTTTCATAGATCTATATGCTCCACTTCCCCCTCCCTACCCAAAGACTTTGCAGCTTATAACATAACTACATATAGTGTTCTCTACACTGATGCAACTCTCACCCCACCCTAGAATTTCTCTGAAATGATGCCTCTGTTGCTATTCCTGTACAAGAAAGGCAATAAGCAATACCAGTAAAAAGCACCTGAAATCCACACTAGGGGTTGCACCCATTTAACTATTCTGGTAGAAAAATCAACTTCCTGATAGAAATACACCTCTACCCCGATATAACGCTGTCCTCGGGAGCCAAAAAAATCTTACCGCGTTATAGGTGAAACCGCGTTATATCGAACTTGCTTTGATCTGCCAGAGTGCGCAGCCCCGCCCCCGCCCCGGAGCGCTGCTTTACCGCGTTATGTCTGAATATGTGTTATATCGGGTCGCGTTATATCGGGGTAGAAGTGTAGTTAAATTGGTATAAAAACTGTGTGTAGACAGTTTAAATGCAGCTAAGATTGGTAGTAAATCAAATGTGTAGCCCTTTGACGTCTTTGGCCTATATGACTGAGTGCTGGCCCCAGTTCTATTCTAAGGTCTTAAGTGGGACTTAATTTGTGCATTGGTCCTGAGCTGGCCTTCTCCACAGGGAAGAATTTCACTCAAAGTGAATAGGCTGTTGGAACTCGCCAGCAAAACTGTATTGCAAATAACCAAGGATTGGAAAACACACTGTTGTCTGAGACATTAACACACCTTTGTGAAACCTGTGTTACATTTGCAAATATGTATTTATTTTTAAAGCATGATTTTGCAAAGAAAAATGGAAGACAAGCTGTTCGAATGTCATTGTGATACCTTAAACATTTGTTTCTCCACCAAACAAAGCGCAAAACAGAAGCTTGAAGGAAATTGCACTAAACACTTCCCAATAGCTGACTAAGATATATAAACATTCTCAGAGAAATAATTACAACTGAAGGCTGAATCCACACAGGATAGTAAATAGAACAGTTGATGGCACAGGAGAAAAACTTGATTAAAAAAAAAACTAATAAAAATTGCATTGTACAGGCTTGAATATACACTTAGGCCCCAGTCCTGCAAAGACTTATGCATGTGCTTAAATGTATGTTTCAATTGGAGTACTTGTAATGCATAAAGTTAAGTGTGTGTGTATGTCTTTGGCAAAATACAGTGTCTAGTTTTTAAGGCAATGGGAGTCTTTCCACTGATTTCAGTAGGCATTGCACTGGTTACTTATTGAACAACTTTGTCACTAAGAAGCTAAAGAAGCTAGGACTAATTCCTTTAATTAAAATATATTCCCTTGTTACACTTGTGAACACTGAAATATCCCTTTAAAAACAGCTGCATGTATATAAACTATAACATTTAGCTTTAAAAAATGGTAGTTGAGCTACCTAGCTTATTGTCAATATAATGTAATCATTTGCCATTAAAGATAATACCCAGTGTAATCATTATTTAAACCGAAGCGATATTCCCCATCCCCAGCCCCCTTAAACCTGGGAGACACTAAATGGAAAGGCATTTTTGGCCGAGCCAAAAAGTAATAACATGAAATTCAGGTAGTTACACTTAAGTGTTTCAGCTACTTTTGTTTGTGTTTTATAGCTACACATAAGGCTTACTTTTGCAAGATGTAGATGCTGTTGCTGCTACTTAATGACAATTTTTGTCTTAAAATTCATTCAAAGTGGATAAATCAGTATACACACATCTGACCAAATCAATCCCAGGTATAAGACCACTGAAATCAGTGGAGTTACTCTAGGATGAATTTGACCCATTTTTAGGGTGCTAATTTCTACGTTCTGTGAAATAATACTTTGCAGTTTGCTTGAATGTTTTAATAGCTAATGTATTTATGGGGGGTGACCACAAATTGAGGTCACCATTAGAGCAGAGGGAATTATTAATAATTTACTCAATTAATTAGGCCTCTCTCTTCTTTTTTTTTCCACTAGTGGAACGACTGTGGGTAGATCACTCTTTCTGCTAATTTATTTGTTAGTTGAATTTACTAAATCAATCCTCTTACTGCATGGATGAACTGCAAAGCGCTTAACGGAAGAGGGCCATGTGCAGCAAGGAACGAGGGGGCCTGCAGTCCTGATGTGAAGGTCCTGCACCATATAGCACACTTTGACTGTGAGCAGCTGAGAGGAGGCAGCTGGCAGCAGGTGAAGAGCCCACTCTTCGATGTACAGGCCGCACTGTTTGTGGAGGTCAGCTGAAGAACTTAGTCGCCGAGTCCTGACCTCTGTTGTAGCACAGGCTGCTGAGGGCAGGCAGGGGCGGGAGGTGGGAGGAGGATACCCAGACACCTACGTCTGACTAAGGGGAAAATGTTTGAGATGGAAGAAGAGAGGGATATAAAGAAATGGAAGGAGAGAACAAGAAAAGATGGAAAGAAAATGTGAAAAAGAGATAGAAACGTGTTGTGAATAACACAATATGCTTAGTGCCAACAGCAGGCCCTAGCAGTACAGGATTTTCACTAGCGACACCACAGTGTAGAAAGAGCAACTGTGTACCTATGGAAATGTGGTCGCCATATTGAATCAAGCTGCAAACCCTGAGGAGGCTCCACTTTGTGTCTCTGTGCTTGGTTTTGTTTGTTAATTATTTCCCCTGTTGCGCTGTATTTCTGTTGCAGAAGAGCAGTTGCTGAGAGGAGGTCACATTGGGCCTCGGTGTTTGGAGTGTCTTTGGCTTGATCATAGAACCACACAAGTTAGGAAAGAGCTACTAGGCCATTCCCATCTCCCTGCAAAGGCAGCACTGCTCCCTACAGTATTTTCTAGTTCAGGTAGATCAGGTGAGGCACTCCACCAGTTCACTCCAGTCAGGGGTTCTCCAGTCTCAAAACCCATACCATTTGACTGCTGATTTTAAATGAACATTGTTGTCTATATTTCAAAAGACTTTCAGCATCACAAACCCCATCAAGTAAAGCTGCAGGTGTTTCTATTCTACTTATTTGACTACAGAGTTATAGAGCAGTCCAAGATTTCATATGTAATAAGGTTAAAAAAAATGCTCATGGTTTTTATTCCTTAATCGACGAGGCACTCTCCTTGCTCATCAGGCGACTCCTGATGATTGCGCTGCTGTGTCTTGATAACTGATCCTGAAATTCTGCTGTTGTAAAGAAGTAGAGGATCGGATCCAAACAACAGTCCAGGCTTGCCAGGCTTAAGCAAAAGGGCTGAGAGTAAAGAGTGCTTCGGCGTATGGCGCAGTGTGTAATAACATTCTCTTTCACCATCATGTAGAAGAAGAAGTTTATGTGATACGGTGTGAAACACACAAAGAACACAGCTGCACACATAGAAACCATGCGTAAAGCTCTCCGTTTTTCACTGGCATTTTGCAAAGGCATTTCGTATTTCTGAAGCGACTCTTTTGTTTTCCAGGTACAGTATACAATAATAATTAGAGGGCCCACAAATCCTAAAAGCTCAGCTGTCGTTACCATAATCACAGAAGCTGTCTTACTGTCAATTTTCCTGACTCCAAGATCTGCAAAGCAGAAATTTGAATTGTTGGTTAAGTCAGAGTTTCTCATAATGGGAAATGGTGAGCAAGCAGCCCCAACCACAATCCATACCACAGCACTAATGGTGACGTCATACCTGCGCTTCCAGTCTTTGGCTTTGAATGGATGGAAGAGGAAGTAGTACCTTTGAATACTTATGCAGGTAAGGAAACAAATGCTTGCGTACATGTTGAGATACTTCAGGTAGAAACATAACAAGCAGAGGAATCTCCCAAAAGGCCACGTGTGGTTTATATAATAATATATTCGTAGCGGTAACGAGAGAACATGAGCAAGATCGGCTGCAGCCAAATTAATCATAAAAATGACAGCTTTGTTCTTCTTGCTGATGAAGCGACATAAAACCCATAATGCAGCACTGTTTGCCAGAAGACCAGGAATGAATATTATGGTGTAAGTGGTTGCGTATAGAGAGTTTTTAAATGTTATATTAGGATCAGCACAGTTTTCTGAAGATCCGTTGCTCTGCATCTTGAGTGTGTCTGAGCAATCATTTGGGACTGGATGGAAGATTTCTGTAAAGAGTAAAAAGATAATCATAACATCTAGCTCTTATATAGCATTTTGCATCAGCAGATCATGATCCCCATTTTGCACATTGGGAAACTGAGGCTCAGGGAGGTAAAAGTGACTTTCCTACAGTCTCCTAGCTGGCCACTGGCAGAGTCTGGAATGGAACCCAGATCTCCTGAGTCTCAATCTAGTGCTCTAGCCACTAAGCCCTGGTGCCTCCCAAAACAATTGCTGTAAAGGCAAAGACAATGCAAGATTGATCTATATTAATATTTGCATCACATGTACTATATGCATTACTTACATTATTACATTTAGTAGAATGTAGAGCCTACAACATGTCCTCTGTAAATCTCCTTCTCACTCTTCAATGCTTTTTCACAAGCAGTAAGATACTTTGGGGGTTATAAAACCTCAAAGACTGTTTCCCTCTATCGAAGGTATGTACCTGGTCCCCATTACCATAGTATCTGAGCACCTTACAGTCAATAATGTAGTTATCCTCACAAAGCCCTGGTGAGCCAGGGCAGTGCTGTTACCCGCACTTTACAACTGGGGAAGTGAGGCACAGTAAGACTAAGCAACTTAGCCGGGGTCACACAGGAAGTCTGTTGCAGATCAAAGAATTGAAGTTGCATGTCCCAAGTATCCAGTGCTTAATTTGTAATGAAAGATGTGCTGGAGCTCAAGCAATTTTTTACTGTCATAACTGATGTGGCAAGCCGAGAGGTGCCGGGGCTAGGAACAGCCGAGCCCAGAGGTGCCGGGGCTAGGAACTGCAGAGCCCAGAGGTGTCGGGGCTAGGAACAGCCGAGCCCAGAGGTGCCGGGGCTAGGAACAGCCGAGCCCAGAGGTGCCGGGGCTTGGAACTGCCGAGCCCAGAGGTGCTGGGGCTCAGCCCTGGCACAAATTAAGCACTGCAAGTATCAGTCTAGCGCCCTAACCACTCAATCATTCTTCTCAAAGTGAGCCAGGTCCATGTCACTGAAGCAGTATGGGACCCTGACAAAGTTGTAGCCATCAATGAAGAAGGGATTGATTTCCACCTAGCCTAGAAAAAATCCCTGTCTCTGACAGCCCAGGATAACCTACAGTCTGGGCTAGACAAATGGAATTTACTTTCTTACTGCTCACCAAACACGTTGAGCTACACTTAAAATGTGGTCATCCTGGGTCTCTCCACCACCCCAACACAAACCTGGGCCATCATTTTTAATTGAGCAGTTTAATTTTGAGGTGATATTTTCCTTTTTCAGACTCTCCTTTGATTCAAACTGCAGACTGATCAGGGTGGGGTGAGGAACTTCCAATTAAACTGTTAAATTAGGTGTACTTTTCCTTCTTTAAACCAGACTAGGATTTCTCCTCAGAGGGGGTAATACAGGCAAGAAAAGTTCAGTTTGGGGATATTCCTGTACTCAAAATCCTGGGTGAGCTTGATTTACCAGCTCATCCAATGTAAGGGTAAAAATGAAGACTGGGTTCCTGTTTTCATGTAAATGTCACACAGTGGCTGAAGAAAGGGATGAGATTCCCAGCTGCTTTTCTACATTCCTTCCATGGCTCCGCTCAGGGAAGTTCCTGGCAGCAGGATTTTATTGTCTCCCTTTTGCCAGGGAGTGAGGAGCACCAGAGGCACAGAGCCAGTATGAAAGCACAGACTTTCTGCATGGCAGTTGCAGGCCTTCTGCTGATTCCCATTCCCCTATGATCCACAAGAATCCACTGGATCTTCTAGGTATAGAGGTGGGCATCCCAATGGAATGATGGTAGAGGGATTCTGTGAGGAAATTTTCTCCACTTTAGTTCTCTGCAGGGAGTTTTACTGTGAGGATATAGCATTGGGGATACTGATTCACTGCAAATGACTCATTTTCTGCAAAGTACCACCTACAGGAGGCATCTGCCAGCAAAAGTGTCTCTGTAAGTAGATGCTGGCCTGGTAACTTGTAGCATGTTACTCATACATGACTAAGAAGCATATGGTCTACTACAGGGTATGGTCCAAATTCACCACTGGTGTAATCATTGGCCTGCTTATGCTAACAGTGCCTATGACCACCCATTTTCTATGCCAGCAGGCCCTGGGAGCAGCAGTTGTTGCTCACTCTCTTTTTTGCCCTTCGTTTGAAACATGTTTCTATTCCTCTGGCTTTTCTTTTCTCCTTAAAGAGTAGCCCAGCAACGGACTAATGCCATATAGCACTGACAGCCACCCACGTACACCCCACCCAAGAAACAGCCCTCTGAAATGGCTGACTGAGATCAGTGGGAGTTAGGCCTTTTTTGAAAATACCACTAACCTCTGTGTCTTTAGGCATCTAAATACCTTTAGCAATCTGGCCCATGGACTGCTGTTCTTACATGAATTTCAATTCCATTGACCTGAAATTAAATCAAAATGGGATATTTCTGTTTCAGTCCCTTTGCCTGCAGATGCCCCTAGGTGCAGTTAGCCTTTATTAGATTTTATGTAATAACTAAGAAATTAGAGTTCATAAGCACTTTTGATGTAATCAAGCACAGCCTTCCAGCTCACCAGTGAGACCACTCCTACTGCAGGTCTTAAAAAGAACCCATGTATTAAATAAGCATTTGAGATAACATATTATCATCCCTGCTTCAGTAAAGCATTGTCTGCACACAAGTGATTTCCAGCAACGCAGCCTTCATTTTCTAATGGCAAAATATACCTTCTTACAAGCATTCCAGACATGAGGAAGTACCTATCCCTCAAAGGTTTTCTCACTGTTTGAGTTGCTTCTTGGCTGTGTAGAATCATGTTTTCTCAGAGAAAAGATATAGGTGCAGAATGATGCAGGTCTAGCATTGCTGATGGTTAGAGAATAACGGAATTTTTGTGCCATAGTTTTCATCTCGTCCTATAATCTGTTCTTTAATTGGCCACTAGGTGTCAGATTTAGACAATGTTTCATTTCTTTTTGCCTTTTCTTTAGAGAGAGATTTCTAACCCTGCTAAGAGACAATAAGGTGTTGAAATTCATGCTATGGTGTTGAGGGCCACATAGACACCTAGATAGATATGGTCTGATTATTTTTAAATTATGTTTTATGATTTTGTGTGTCTTGATGTCTTCTGGGATTATCTCAAATTGAAAAGCTTGTGTTCTGATTTTAGACAATTGATAGCAGAATAATTTCAGAGAAAAATCTTCTAACTTCTTGATGTTATAGTTAGGGGAAAGTCCTGATTTAGGGAAATTAAACAAAGATAGCTGTTCAGAATCATTGTGGGCACAGCCACATGGTTACAAAAATACCCTTAAAATGTGGTTGACAAAAAATAAAAATTAAACATCTGTATTAAATTAGCAATTGAATGATGGGCCTGTAAAAGGCTCTTTATTGATTTCAGTGGGCTCTGGGTCAGGCTCTATATGATGAAATATGGACTAAAGAGTGTGAAAGGATTGAGAGTGCAAAATTATGGGTAACATTTATATAATAACAATGCTCAAGTACAGAGCATTCTCACCCACCAATTCACTAGGCTTGCCAATAATGAATCACTTTATTTAAAACATGATAAAACTATCCTCTAAGCTAAAATACAGAAAGATCCTGCTCAACACCTGGCAGGACTGGACCCTTACTGCAAAGCTACTGACAAAGCAAGGGCACCAAAAGCATGTTGCATAGCACAGGTGGCAAGCTAACATATTCCATTCAATTATCTTTTTTCCCGTATAGTGAAGACATATCACAGTAGTTTGGAAGTCACAAATGGACAGTGAAAGCCTCTGCGAAAACAAATTCCTACTGGATCATTTTCTTCAGAACATGCCATTTCAATAAAACCAATAATGAATAAATACAATATTGATGTTTGCTTAATTTATTTGCATTTGTAAGATTGTGGTAACAAGGAAAGAAACGGTTTGTACTGGTGCACACTATTACTTGGTTACTTGTAGATGGAAGTCTGCAAAATATTATTTCCATGGCAATATCAAGAAAGGAATGCTCAAACTGAGACCAACAAATGTAGGACTGTCATTCCTTGGCCCTACTGTTTTTTTGTTGTGCCCATCAAGTGGTGACCAGACACTATAACTGGTTTAACTATGTTGCAAAATCCTTCCTCTAGAATCGCTCCTCTCTGAGTGTTCCTGTATCTTGCACGTTGCTGGAGTCACAATGAAAACTGAAACCCTCACAGTCAGCAGTGAAAAGCTCTACAGTTGAATCAAAAGGGAGGCTTCCCTGGCTGAATGCTGCTCACAGCTTCTTAGCTGTGATAAATATGTATGTCTTACAGAGTTGTGATGCATGGCTAGAAAGGGTTAAACAGCTTGCAGGCTGAATGACCCAAAGCTCACCTTTAAAGTCATGTTAGAAAGGTATGCAAATGATAATTAGGGCCATTCATGCTAAATAGGCTAGAACTTTGAAATGCAAACCTATATTGTTAGAAGTAATACTAATTGTGTGTATTACAGGGCACACAAGCTGATTTTCAGTGGCACTCACACTGCCCGGGTCCTGGCCACCGGTCCGGGGGGGCTCTGCATTTTAATTTAATTTTAAATGACGCTTCTTAAGCATTTTTAAAACCTTATTTACTTTACATACAACAATAGTTTAGTTGTATATTATAGACTTATAGAAAGAGACCTTCTAAAAATGTTAAAATGTATTACTGGCATGCGAAACCTTAAATTAAGGTGAATAAACGAAGACTCGGCACACCACTTCTGAAAGGTTGCCGACTCCTGGACTAGATGATCTCCTGAGGTCTCTTCCAACCCTAATCTTCTATGATCATGATCATCTAGTCTGGCCTCCTGCACATTGCAGGCCATAGAACTCACCCACCCACTCCTGTAATAGACCTATAACCTCTGGCTGAGTTACTGAAGTCCTCAAATCATGATTTAAAGACTTCAACTTACAGAGAATCCACCATCTACACTAGTTTAAACCTGCAAGTGTCCCATGCTCCATGTTGCAGTAAAAGGTGACCTCCACCCCAG